CATAAATAAATAAATATTTACAAAAAAAAAAAAAAAAAAAAGAACAAAGCAAGGACATCCCCTCATCATTTTAATTCAACTTCCCTATAGATAGTCTAGCCAGTGAATCAGTCAAGTAAAGGAAATAAATGCCATGGAGAACAAGAAGAAAAGATAAAATCCTCCCTCTTTATAGAGGACATAATAACTCACATAGAAAATTCCAGGATATGTGCAAATATTCACTTAGAATTATGAAATGTATTTATCAAGTTCATAGGATAAGCAGTAAATGTACATTAATCACCTGTATTTCTATATACTAGCTATGAAGACACGGGGCCAAGATTTTAAATTCAATACCATATATCAGAGAGGAAGGTAGGGCGGGAAGGAAGATGGAAGGAAAAGAGAAGGAAAGAAAAAAAGAGAAGTAGATTTAGGTATAAATTTAACAAAACATGTACAGTATTCATTGCTGAAGCTATATAACTGATAAAAAAAAGTAAAAGCTAAAAATATAATAATTATGTTACATTTATGGAAGACTATGTAACATGATTCCCAAATGAACATACAAGATTAATATAATTCTTTTTAAAATACCAAGTGTTTTAAAATTATTTCCTCAATTTTTATTATTTTTAATAAATATAGTCAGAATTCTATATTCTGTCTGATTAACTCTGCTTGCACTCTGTAGGCTTTAAACAAATATTTCAGTATAATTTAGTTCTAAATAATTATTTTACAATAATGAAAGATTGTCTACATATTATAAAATTATTAATTAGATGAATTATTTGTATCCATTTGAGATTGATTTCTAACTTTATTAGGTTATGACTGATGAATGTCACTTTTGTTGGGGAACTTACTTATTAATATTTTTGAGATTTATTTTTTTTTGCTACTTATCCCTATCAGTCCCATCCGTAAAAACTTCTTAAATCTAATGATGATAAACAGCAGCCTGTTTCTGTATGATCAGACAGCAAAAGTCAAAGTACAAAGAGAATATATTAGCAAATCTTACAACCTATGACATCAGCATATTTATGATAATTGCTGAGTGTCATGTTCAACCCCAAGTACACAATTGCAAATGACAATGTCTGAATCCCTTAGAGTAATTCCAGATCTTCTAGAAGTACAAATCTGTCCCTTTAAGTCAGGTAGAGGGTAACCCTGTACTTAGTCTAACCTAGACAGCTCTAGGGATAGCTCACATTCGGTAAGAGTCCTTGATAAGATCACCTTGCACACATTGATTCTGCAAAATACGACATAGC